TTTTTCCACTTCTTTTTGCATGTCTGATCTCTTTTCTCAACCATGCGTTTGGCGAAGTCACTGAAATGTCTCCTATTCTTTTTAGGTAAATAATAAGATGCTTATGAAAGTGTTTCAGGCGATCGCAGCTATTCGAGAAGATAATGCTCGTCTATCCACACAGATGGAAGAACTGGCTAGGCTGGCTCGGATAGAAGTCAGTCTCGATTCCGATCCAAACGCTGTGGTGAGCTTAAAAGTCTTTTGGAGTAGTTCTGCGTAAAGTCCGATAAGTTATTTTATGTTTAGGTCTACGTTGGCAGTGATATGGAACGATTACTAGACCAAACCGAAAAGAATATCGAATCAAAGATGAAACTGCAAACTTTACTATCTGTTGTTGCGCTCTATGCAGCCATAGGTGTAGCAGTTCCCTTAGTGTATGCTGCTTTTAGGGGAGGATAATCCACGAGTTTTACCATCAATTGTAGTGATTTCTATCTATCGTCTTCTATAGGAACACTAACAACACTAGAAGATGATTACTGTAGTATGAGCATTATAATGTTGTAAAGTTCGCATTGGAGTAATAGCGATCGTCCGGTGATTAAGTGAATTGAACGCTGGTTGTTCCAGCTATAACGGGTTTTTCACTAGATTACAGTTTTGTATGTAGAGATAGATTGATAAATCTTGGTATGTAAGTGTTTTTTAATGACAGCAAGAGATTGTTGGGGAGAGCGACCTTTGACCAATGGTTTTTTTTTTCAACTTAACAACAGGAGAAGTCATAACCAATATTTTTACGGAGCCATCAACGAGATGAGAGTGCATTAGCGCTTTTTTGTTGTAATTCATACTATACAGTGTGTAGGTTAGATACATGGAGGCACGGCTCCTTTCACTTTATTGGAAGGAGAAAAGCGTAGGATTCTCATCCATGAAACTTTGGTAGATTGTGTTCGGGACTAGGCTGCTACTTCCCGCGATTTCACGCTATCTGCATAACCAAGCGTCTTCCAGTGGGTATTAAGCACTCGTGCCTTTTCTTTGTTATTTATAAGCTACTACTGGTAAGTCCCACACCACCGGAAAATCTTGAAAAGTTCATTTGAACAGCGGCGCAACGTTTATTTCTTTGATCTGAGTGAAAGATAGGGAACATTCTATTTTCTTGGTTTTAGGTTTATCTTAGGATTTTAATCCA